CTACTCCACCAGATGCTAATGTTCTTTGCACCAAGTGCTTCTCGTCGTTCTTGAATAATTGTTGAATATTTTCCGAATGAGCACCCCGAATTTCTTTTTCAGAACGTAGGGTTCAATCTCCATTGGTCATGCTCTAACTCACTTTGCAGAACGACTTTCAGCTACAGAGCACAATTTTTTTCAAGCAGCGAAGGAAAATTTATAGCTATAATCCCTGTAGTTGAAATGTTAATATCCTACAAGTCGGGCTTCTGGATATCCTCAAGTTTTTCTTGTGTGGTTACTTCCGTAGGTCGGCTCACCTTAGATGAGTTTTCTGCCAAAGCGATCCTCCAAGACCCACAGCTTCGCATAATCATAAGAGGAGACAAATAACGAATACCCGATTCGTGAATTTTCCCCATTTCGGCTTCCTTCTGGAATAAGAATTCAGTGATTATTCACTGGTCGAAGCAGCATTTTGAACATAAAGAGCACATTGCCATTATTCTCGATACATTTCGTAGCTCAAAGAAGTGGACTGGATGAGCGGCTAGCGTTCTGGAACTGCTTTTTCGATGAGAATATGAATTTTGATGTGAACGATAGCTCTTTTCGAATCTATTCCTTGCCAGAGGAACGGCTGTATTTTTGCGCATATTCTCTTGAAATTCTTTCATAATTTTTTTTCTTTATTCTGCAGCCAACTGTAACACTTTCAGACGATGTAGATGACGACTTTTCGGCTATGGCAGCGGCGAGCGAATTCCTGATGAGTGCATCTGGCGAAGATGCGGGTAGTAGCAGAGCTCAAACACCTCAGCCACTCGCACGATCTGCCAATACGCAGCACCAACAGAAAAGGCGCACTCGTCGTGATAAGCGGCGACGTCGCGGAAGGAGCAGCGGAAACGAAGGCGCTAGCAGTAGTGATAAGGTTTGTTCTTGGAGAAAACCTTCCAGTTGGTCCCTTCATATATGCGTAGAGTTCGCAATATTCGGTTATGCTACGTATCTTCATGTTATGAGCAAGTTGATATCCTCAGTATTTAGTCGCATCGCAACGCGATTGGTGCTGAGCGTGTTCCAAAGAAAACCCTGGCTGCTGAGCTGAACGAAGAACGACGCCGAAGAGAAGATGAGTACTTGAGGAACAACAACGCAGGTATGAATGTCTTGTAAAAATACTCAAACCTAAAACTCAAATGAAAGAAATTTTTTCTTTTTCTACTGAAATTGGCTTATTTTTGTTCCTCACAGCCATAGTAGAAAAACGCATCAACAACCGACCGCAGCGATTCTAAAACAGTGCCTGACCCTTTCAGTTCCTTCTTATCAGGAATACCAGTTGGTCAGCCCGGCTTATTGGATGTATATGTCTATACGCGCCTCGGCGACAGGCATTTTTTCCCGAATAAGTGTGATATTCGTAATCAGAGAGACGGATCCCCCTGTTGCGCAAACTTGTGGCAAAATCCGAAATTTCGACCTATCCCAGCTTCGAAGATCAGCTGCGTACCGCTGGTTCTAGGGGTTTCTCGAAGACGTTTGTTTTCCAGTCGATTCACAGTAGATATGCAGCCTTTCTAGAGCGCATGATTCACCCCTTCGAAGCTGTCAATTTTTGTAAGCTGAAACGATAGATCTTAGGCAAATTTGTTGGGGCTGCTCTGGGGACACTGAGTTGGCCTCAACAATTTCAGAGAGTGCCCACGGCTTCGAACCACTGTTCTAGGGGTTTCTTGGAGACTGCCACTACGATTGATTAGCGTTTGGCAGACCTTGCCGTCCATGAATCACTGGTTCGACTAGAGTCGGTAGTTACGAGAAATAGATATTCTTCATGAGCTACATACAGGGGGTGTGCAGTTGCAACTCTGCAATTAAGGCGAAACCAGAGAGGCAACCCTTTGCTTAGAGGTTTTGTTCTCCTTTCACAGTAGCACGTTAAGTTAAAGTTGTGTGCAAAATTAACTAATGGGCATAGGCACCGCCGGGTCCCGCGACATTGCCGGCTTACTCTGCTTGCACATGCTCTGGATTCCGCCAGATTTTGGACATTATGGCTGGTTGGGCATCTTTTATTGACCTGCGACAGCTCTCGAACTACATGTTACTGAACAAATTCAGAAAAGCACACATGGACTTGGCTTTGTGTATATTCTCATCCATCATATTCTTGGGGTTTCGCAACAACCTGATTTCACTTGTTCCGCTCTACTGTTCCATTGTTCCTAAAGAAGAATGACTACGTTGATCGCGAACGCCTCCTAACAGTATTTGTGTAAACATATACAGGGGGGCCAAAAAAAGAGTCACTTCTCTCCACATTCAAAACGCAATTAATCTCGAACTGCGAAACCAAATCAAATGAGCCCAATTGCATATTAAAGAGCACATTCAAGTCTATCAAAAGGTTACATGACAGCCTTCTACACTGACGACATCAGAAGATTTTCCCACGGAAACATGGTTCACGGTACGAGCTCAACGACGTCGTCGAGGTACCATAGACCATTACGACGTCCCTGAAACGCCGGTCAAAAGCGGTCTTGCACAGTCACAGCTAGTGTCTCTGGGAAGCTATTCACCGCTTAACCGATTGAAGAAATTAGGTTGCAGCTTCAGGCCGGAGCGATTACGGTAAGCCCGTTGAGCTTGACGGCGACGGCAGATGACGTCATATTCTGAAGACCGTGAGGGCATTGAAGTAGGGGCTGCTTCTGCTTATGGGGGGACACCTAAGGAATATTCTGCCGTAAAACATTCATTACTGCGGCATCCTGTGCGAAGAAAAATTTGATGATGTGCGCCATAGGCAAAGTGACTCTTTTTTTGCCCCCCCCTGTAGTTGTGGGATAGGGAGCTATTCTTTGATTTGAATAGAGAGGAGGACTGTTAACGCAGACATGTGTGGTGATATTCAATTGAGCAAGTTTTGTTTGGAAATTTTGGTTAAATTCGTAACGAAAGCTGAGATATTTCCAAATTTGGCATCAAAGTAGGACATTGCTTACGTTTCTCAATTTGGCAATTTCCACCTCAATATCCACTGTTGAGCGTGTTGAGTAATTTATTTTTGTTTGTCGATATTTGAAACCTGCCAATTTATGGTCGTGATCCGGAAACGAAACTCATCTCTGAATCGTGAGCTTCTTCCGAAGATTTCATTTTGCCTTTAGGTGGTCTTGGCGATTGGCCAATGCCGGACCTTCACCTGGGCTCGCTCATTGAAGCTGACGAGAGAACTAGCGTGAGTGTTTCTGTTGCTCCATAATTCGCTCAGGATGAGTATCGCTGTTCAGGCCAGCTCAAGGCTATGGCCTCCTACACCGATTGGGTCACGTTCTTCACTTGCTGGCCAGTGGAACGAACACTCGAATGCTATGTCATCTTCTACTGCTGCTCCAGATATGTCATATGATCCACTGTCGCTCGGATTGTCGCTAGGACCTACTGTTGCACCAGTGGATGCGAATGCTCCGTTCAACATTTTCGCAGGCGCCGACTTCAGTCTATGGTCGAACGCCGGCTTTGGTGACACGCATCATTCGTGGAGCAACAATGGCGATAAGCCCGATGCGAATTAGATGCAAAGACACACACATTCAGCTGCCCTACTGCCTTCTTCGTAGATTCCCTTCTTTTCACTCCTCTCTTTTTTCGTTCCTGTCTCGTTTCTTTCGCCATTTCTCACCCATCTAGTTACTAAGAATGAGTTTTCTATCAGAAGTTCCTTTATTGTACACTCAAAGCATTTATGTTTTCACGCTGATACTTGCCGATCGCTAATTGTGCTTAGGCCTGCTAGCCTGCGTCAATCTTGACGCGGTCTCCAATACCGAACAACGACTTCTTTGGCAGACCGAAAACGGCGCCAGATATCGTGTTTGGCATTGGCAAATTGAACGCTGATCGGAGTTGATGACTGCCCAGTAGTAGGCACTCAATAAAGATCTGACGACTTGTCTCGAATTCGCAACGGCACAAGCGAAGGAACACTGTAATTTTCAGAATAGCCTAAAACAAAAAAAAACATTGTGCAGAGCAGGATGGAATGAAAGTGTAAGTGGTAAGTTAGAAGCAAGGATCGGAGGGAAAGTGCACATTCACCGATTCCATCTCTATCTATGGTAGACTGGCGTGCAAGCGTCTATGTCGTGCTGCTTCAACAGCTTGAAAGTGAGCAATGAAAAGCTAGAAGCTCTCCCAGCTTTCTCGTTTGCACGTTGATCTCGCTACTTTCCCGGGCTCCTATGTTCTCCCGTTTTCTCATGCCCACTAAGTCTGGGAAAGGGGCGATAGTAACCATATGGATGAGAAGGACCCCGCCACTCTCAAACACTGTCGAGTCGGTGATACATGGTTCGGACTGCTGGTACAGCTTTCGTTGTGGTGGATTCGATCCGATGGCACACATCGTCGACTAGCCAGTGGCTGCGGTTTGTTAGCGAATCGACGGATTCGCAAAATCTGACACCTGGTTTAGGGCTTGTACGAATGAGAGGAGATCGTGCTAAAAGTGGGTACGGTGGTGTGTGGAGCCCGACCCGATGAGAGGGGCTTATTCGAAAGTCCCTATGAAAGTGCCGAGATCTGCACTTTGTTTTGTATGTGGAAGGACATCTGCTTTCTCACTTACATAGATAGCGCAGATTGTAGCTAAAAGTGGGTACGGTAATAGGTGAGACCCAACCAGCTGGGCGAGGCTTGTTCCGCGGGGTTTGACAGTGCCATAAATTCCATTTCGAATACGAATGGACATTCTGCGTTCCATTTAGATAACGTACGGCAGTAGGCAAGGCTCGCCGAAAGTGGTTACTGTAGTGGGCGAGCCTCTGCCGGATGGGCGGGGCTCACGTCAAACTCTGTTGAAAATTCCGATTTTGCGCAGAAGACTCAAATGAGGTGGGTAATCACGGAAGTTATCGGATGCTGTTGTAAAAAAGGAAGTTGGGAATCACACTATTGATTGGGTGCTGTAGAGGAAGTGAAAATTGCGGCGGGCCACGCCTGGAGGCCGCCTACTGGGGGTGGATCCTCCTAATTCGATCCGACTTACCAATGTGAGCCTTTACCTACTTTTTTCCCCAGTTTCGAGGCGTTTTGAACTAGAATCTGAAATCCTGGTCGTCAGTACCACTCATTTCGATGCACGCCACGCCCACTGTGGGCGGGGCTCCGCTTAGCTGATGTGTGTTTTGTACTTCGTCGAGACCTTGCCCACCCATCCCACACTTGACCCGGTCCCTCCAGGCGGATCCCGAGGAGCTAGGGAATTTCGTGACAGACATACAGAACGACAGACAGACAGACGACAGACGAAGCGCTTTATATTGAGTAGGATACATATGTTCCTTTAGGACCCGACATGAACGCGTGCTTGTACACGCATGAACGTCACTTCAACTGTTTCTGATGATATAGCGAAATGAACGACCGCTGCATACCTCGCGCGGTCAATCATTGTAGCGGTTTTCGTAATGTTGAGTCTCTCAAGCTGTTTACTCTGAGATTTGGTGCGAAACAGCTTACTGGTGGGGTTTATTTTATAATACAGAGCACTCGCGTATGGCTTCACTCCATCTCTATTCATCGGTATGAAAAGTCTCACGCCAAAAGGTCAGCAGGTTCAAAAAAATGTTACGAGGAATCTTCAATCGTGCAGCAGAGTAATCTTCTTGGCAGCTTATTTCATTTCACAAACTTCTGGTCGCTATAGCCTCATGTCTGTCTATATGCCAGTATGAGCGTGTCAGCAAGCTCGCTGTTCGTCCTCTAACTCAAAGTTGTACCTGTGGTTCTGGCCTTGTTCATTGAAGTTTTGTTTCCTACAAAGCACATGATGAATAGAACAGTCTCCTATAGCAGCACATCCTGGTATGGCATGAATCAGACGATCGTAGATCTTACTATGGGCAGGATAGGAGCTCGTAGCTAGCTACAAGAGATAAGCTTAGCGCCTATCCTGCACAGGTCATCTCCTTTTACCTTGTCGTCCATCGTGACTGCAATGATGACACTTATAAACACACATGGCCGCATAAGTGTAACAACGCAAGAGCATTCGTTCATACATATGAGATGGGAGATAGGACGGGGATAGAGGTGGTAGGTGGTGGAAAGTGATAACTGACAAGTACTATGTAAAAGAGCGCTTAAATTCATCACAGAATTTACTCTACTTCTTTACTGTGATAGTGAAGTGCTCCCATTTGTAAGAGGAAAAGATCCTACTGTATATAACCCGCTAAGTGGTAGTGTGTGTCTGCCTGACCGGAAATTCATAACTTCGCTCTCTTTGGTCACAGAGCTGTGGAAACATAGCGGAGTGGACGCAGACGTGGATGGTTGGTGATGAAAAGTAGTAGCTGCTGATTATGACAATGGGCGTCGAAAAGCAAGTGACACTGACTTAGTTATGCCCTTCGCGATAACAGTAGAATCTGTATCCTCATATGTATGTGTTGCATATGCAGGGTGAGATGGGGAACAAGAGTCTAGAAGATAGAAAGTGATAGCGACTGATAAGAGCTGATAGGGGCATCGGAGTGTGAGCATCGCCACTTTCGTTATGGCCTTAGCGATGACAGTGGAGTATTGGCTGTTACATCTTGTATGGTGGGTCGGACAGAGCCGTGGATGGCAATGTGAGTACTTCTCATTTCGTTGCGGCCTTCGCGATAACAGTAGAATCTGTATCCTCATATGTATGTGTTGCATATGCAGGGTGAGATGGGGAACAAGAGTCTAGAAGATAGAAAGTGATAGCGACTGATAAGAGCTGATAGGGGCATCGGAGTGTGAGCATCGCCACTTTCGTTATGGCCTTAGCGATGACAGTGGAGTATTGGCTGTTACATCTTGTATGGTGGGTCGGACAGAGCCGTGGATGGCAATGTGAGTACTTACTCATTTCGTTGCGGCCTTCGCGATAACAGTAGAATCTGTATCCTCATATGTATGTGTTGCATATGCAGGGTGAGATGGGGAACAAGAGTCTAGAAGATAGAAAGTGATAGCGACTGATAAGAGCTGATAGGGGCATCGGAGTGTGAGCATCGCCACTTTCGTTATGGCCTTAGCGATGACAGTGGAGTATTGGCTGTTACATCTTGTATGGTGGGTCGGACAGAGCCGTGGATGGGAATGTGAGTACTTCTCATTTCGTTGCGGCCTTCGC